GTAACTCTGTATTGTCTGTATTGTGCTTGTGATATGTTGTAAAATGTTGTATGTCTGTTAATGTTTCCCTCATTTTATCCTTAAAATAAAAAAAATAAATAAATAAATAAATAAAAACAAAAGAAAGGCATTGAGCTTTTTCCCCAAAACAGAAATGTTTCTATGAACAAAGTTAATAATAACAAATTGCAAAGCATAACTAAAGCTAACTACATCTGATAAAAAGCTCATCTCATTTTGATATATTTTAGAACTATGTTGTCAGTTCTACTTTCTGAAACTCTTCACAGAGTGAATGTAAATAAAAGAGGTTATAGTAGCACAGAAGATGGTCCATCCTATAAGGTACCAACCCTGACACTTCTGAGCAGATAGTCACAGAGATCTGAATATATATGTCAATTTACCCTGATATATAATAAACATCAGCAGAGTACAAAAAATCTAAAGGGATGATATTGGCAATGATATAAGCAATAAGAAGAGATTGAGACCTTAGAAAATATATGCTCCATTTAAAAGGACTCAAACTCAATTATTTTTAAATACTCTTCAGCAAGTAACAATACACATAGGCATGTTAAATTACACCTAAAATTCAAAGTCCAGTAGGACTTTGAAAGTACTCTTCAAATACCATTTGCATCAATGTCTTCCCATGACCTCCTTCCTAAAATCTTTATTTTGTTAGCCAGGCATAGTAGTACACACCTATAATTCCAGTATACTGAGAGGCTGAGACAAGAGGAAAGAGGATCACATGTATAAGCCCAGCCTGGCCAATTTAATGACTGAGCAAAGCAACATAGTTACTAAAAGAAAACAACGCTGGAGACGTAGCTCAGTGCAAAGGTTCTGGTTCAGATTCCTAGGAGAGAAAAAAACAAAACTATATTTCCCTCACTTATCTCCCTATTCTGGCATTTATTATATGTCTTCATTGCAAATTTTTTGTCTCCTCTGCTGTTTGGCACAGAGATCTTGATTTTAAATTCTCTTAACACAAAATATACTGTTTTTCAAAAAACTATACATTTATAAAATCAAATCTAAACTCATTCCCTTTTGGTCTTGTCACCTAGAACAAAACATGAAAAGATCTTGGCCATGGAAAACACATGGCTTACTGATCTCCATCATAGTGAAAATCCTTGGTTATAAAGCAGTCCGAACCAGTTTAGAAGTATTCCAGAAGTGTTATGAAAGTAGTAAATCTAAATTAGATAAATTCAACATTTAGACAAGAAGCATCTACCTTTATCATTAAACAATTGCTAAAGTAACTTTGTGAGTTACCTACAAAAGAAAACATGCATCCACCTACTCTGAACACTACTCTAAGGGGAGACTTTTGTCTTCATATAAAGGCCACAAAAACTTCTTATGCTTATTTGAAAGACTGCCAAAGTTGAATAAATAAAAAAACAGAGAAACTAGACCACAAAAATATAAACTAAATAATGAAGGCAAAGTATAAAGAAAACTTTTGCATCAGTGTGCTAGTCTTAAACCTGAGATGGAAAAGGCTATGCCTTTTAGAAATTTAAAGAAAAAGTGTAGAGACACAGGATTCAACTTCTGAACAATTCCTCAGAAAAGTAACTCCATGGTGGAACAATAATTTCACCTGCAATGTGTAGGTGTCTGAAAAATGTGTCACACTTATTCCCTCTGGGTATTCATATTTCAGTTACAATCTATACTCTCAACCAATTCAGAACTGCTGCCATGTGAGTGAGCCCAGGCTAGCCCACTGATCTTGATAGACACATGACAATGTCACTCTGCCACCCATACAATATCCAACCAGCCCCTGTAATGGAGACACTGATCTGACACACAACTGACCCAACACACAAGAGAAAACCCCGCCAAGACCAAAACTACCCCGATGAGTTTAGACAAAATTTCCAAGCCCAGATTTACGTGCTAACCTGTTATTACACTAAGTTTTTACATTTGGGATAGTTCATTATGCAGCAGTAACTGAGTAAATACAAAGAAAGTGACAATCTGACAGGAACCAAGAGTTGTAGGAGGATAAGAATGCTTCTGCTACCTAGCCAGCCAAGAAGCAACTGTGACAGTAGAAAGTGTTAAAAAAAAAAAAAAAAAAGACCAACTTTCAAGTTGGGGCCAACTTAAAATAGATTTTAAAAACAGGTGACCCTTTCTTTACAGAGAAACAAAAGCTATATAAATGTTATCCATTCTTCAAAGCTCAATTCCAATCACATCTCTTCACTCATTCTGTTTCTGACTCCCCTTGGGTATAGTGGTGATAGTTGCTCTGCTACTTATGCATAGATGATAAATTATATTGGAAAGAAGTCTGGACTTTAATCAGTATATTTAAATTCACATTCTAGTTTCATCAGACATGTGTCTTTAGGCACATTCCTTAAATTTTTGAGTTTGGTTCCTAATCTCTTAATTAAAAATTAATAGCTTTCAATCCCATGGGACAGCTGTGAGAACTGAATTCTGAATGTGTCGACATGCTGAACACAATGTGTGTCAAGTGAATTTTGTTTCATTTATTCAACTTTACTGGATTCCTAACATATATCAGGCTACGTGCTGGACCCTGGGAGAAAGGAAACCATGACTAACAATACCACACACAATTGCCATGTACAAATAATTTCTCATGTGGACAGCCCTCCAATTAGCATGAAGCTAGAGATTATGCTTTGTATCTCTTCAGATTTCCTAAAAGCGTGTAATGCAGCAGCATTGCCTTTAAAGCACAACTAAAGAAGACTCACTTGACAGCTCACATCCATTCCTGCCTCCAACAGCACCTGTACAACTGCTTTGTGACCATTGCGGGCGGCAAGGTGAAGCGGAGTGTGTTTGCGAGTATTGCAGCTCATTAAGTTAGGGTGCGCACTGATGATCATTTTCACTACTCTAAGCCGTCCGTAGAGTGCTGCCAGGTCCAGGGGTGTTTCGAGCTTACTGTTCCTAATTGTAGGGTCGGTGAGCTCTTCTAGGAGAACAGCAACTACTTCTGAGTGTCCATACTGAGCTGCGCAGTGTAGGGCAGTTTCGTTTTCATTGTTCTGTTTAAGGCAAAGATATAAAGGCAATTCAATTAATTATCAAAATCTAAACACAGTAATTTAAAACCTGCAGTGTTCTAAAAAAACAAATTTAAGATTAATCTAAATATGTCTAGTCAAATTCTGTATTTGATAAAAGCATCCATCACTCGCTATATCAAAAATACCATGTTTTAAGCTAGGGATACAACTCAGTGGTACAGCATTTGTCTAATATGCACAGGGCACTGGTTTCAATTTCTAAAACAAACAAAAAGTCATATTTTGTACTTATCACTGTAATATAAAAAAGCAAATTTTTGCATCATATATTCCAACTTCTAAGAATGACAAATGATTTAGACAGAACAGTAAGTGGCCCACTGAGCCCAGACGGCCAGTGCTCTCTGGAGCATCATGCCTCTGTGACATGTGCCAGTGAGGGAGATTAATAACAGTTCTAACACACTTTTCATAGTCTGGCATTCCAAAAGACAGTTCAGATGGCAAATTCTTGGTAATGTAAGATTTATACAAAGGTTTCTCAAATTATTTTTCATTATATTTCCCATAAATATAAATAATTGCTTCTCTTGCAAAGAGAACAGAGATATTCTGACCCCAAAATATAATATTCTCTTTTCTAAAACATAATTATGAATTGAGAAGTAGACTTTGACTCACCACAGACAATAAGGAGTATTATAGTGCTAGATGTGCAGGTTGTAAATGTTTCTGTTGAAAAATCAATGGGTTTTTCCTAGAACTTTAAGCAAGATTAAAAAAACTTGTACCCATTCACAAAGCAGATTGACCGTGCAGACCATATGGGCAGGTGACATGGGTAGGATGGGGTTTGTAGCAGGAGGTAGAAGGGTCAGTCAAGAGAAATGTAAATAAAACATCTTAGCAATAAAAATGGAATGCGCATAAAGGCAGATTCAGGAGAGAAAGCAGCCACCAAGATCAGAGCTAATACTAGGTACTAAACACAGTTGCATTTTGCATGTGTTAAACTCATTTAATCCTGATTATGAGAGACATTACAATTACCATTATTCCCATTTTACACTAAGAGAAAACTAAGACACTGAGTAATTGAATGATGGATCTTAGATTATACAGCCCTTTAGTAGTAGGACCGGGATTTGAACCAGTGGACTATACTCAAACTCTTAACCACCACACGTTCCACCTTCCACAGTACCAATTACCTAATTTCATTTGCTAGTGTCTAGAAACTTTGCATATTTTGTCTCATTTAACTATTACAACAATTCCGCAAGATTGCTATTATACCTCTATTTCCTGGATAATGAAACCAAGAGTCAAAACAGTACACACATGCCAAAATCAGCACCTATGTCTCAAAATCCCAGACCCAGGCTCTTTCCACTATGTCACACTACCGTGTTTTGCTTTGTTCTAAAAGAAGAAATATTGTGAAATGAAAGGAAAATGCTCAAAAGTAAAGGACAACTGGGATGTGGGAAAAGAGAAGCAAAAGAAGGGGAAATCATGTAAGTATGTATATACAGGATAGCTAACATAGTTGTACTACTGTCTTCTATTGCCCTACAGAAAGGAACAGTTAATGATTACTTGTTTGATCAATCTTGTATGTCTCTATTTGTTTTCCTGAGAAACCACTTAGAAGATATCAATAACTAATATAACAACCATGGTTAATTTCCTACAACTTTGTCTGTAACTCTGTTTCATTTGCATTGTTCTTACGCTATTTTGTAAATGGATGTCTGTCTGTTAATATGTTTTCCTTCTTTTATTTTTTAAAATAAAAATAAAAGAAGAAATACCAGACACAAGTGATCTGAAAGCACTATTTCTAAGGACTGTGCCCAAAACACACCAAATGGGTTCATAGGAGATATCTGCTTAGATAGCTCTTTCTACCAAAACAAAACAACAGGAAGGTTCAAACTCAAAACAAATCTTAATGTCCCACAAAGTAACTCAAGCTTGCTCCGGATGATAGAAGGAGTGGAGATCAAAACACTTATAGAGAGGCAGAGGAGGAATAAAAACACACTAGAAAAGCCTTCTTCCTACTTTTGTTTCTGATATGAACTAAAGCACAGCATTTGAAGGTCAAATCTGGAAGAAAAACCTACTTCTTAAAGACACTTAATGAAAAACCAAGATCTGGTAGACTGGAATCCTGCTGAAGATACTATTTCTTCCATCATTTGTGGGGAATCATTATTGCACTTGGTTTGAATGTTTACTATAACCTACTTCCACAAAGATACTGACTGTGTACAGGTTTAGAGGCTCTGATTTTTAAAACGTGACGAAGTTTTACAAGCCTGATTTTTAAAAAAAGCAAGCTTATTATTTTAGAGCATGAAAATCTGACACAGAAATATGCTTCCTGAGCAACCCAATTTCTTCTTGGTCTGAAAGAGACTGAACCTCATTTTCCAAGCTACAGCACCTCTTTGGGTAAAGAGAAAGGTCAACTATGAAATAATGATTCCTCAGAAATCTCTCTGCTTTCCAAAGCCCTTAACCTAAGAAAATATGAGAGCAAAATTGAGAGTATTTTTTAATAATACCAATTAGCACAACTTAATCTCAAGAGAAATTATTCTGACTGTTCAAGACCTACTAAGGAGAAAATGCTCACAGACTTATATCCATAACCAACATATACTTGGATTCACATCACTGGAGACCAAAGTGGGGTATTGTTACAAAGCCATAACTGTATACTTGTGTCCACATTCAATAGTGGTCTAAAAAACAAAACATCTAATCTGAAATACACAGACTATGTTGCAGCACTCATTAATGATTATTAGCTGGTCAGCCAGACATGGTGGCGCACGCCTACAATCCCAGCACTTGGGAGGCTAAGGCAGGAGGATTGCTGTGAGTTTGAGGAGAATCTGGGTTACACATCAAATTGAAGGCAGCCTGAATTACATAGTGAGACCCTGTCTCAAAGAATAATAATAATAATAATAATAATAATAATAAGTACTAGTAGTAGGTCTACACAGACCTAAAATATTTTGAATTCCTTCATTTTTACCAAATGGGTAGTCTCTGAAAAATTAGGGCACTCCTAGATAGCATGACAAAACTGGATAACAAAAGCTAGATAACAAAAGCTATTTACCAAAAGACCTTGCTTCAAAGTAAAATATCTAACACAACTTGCGTTCAAGTTTCAGTAAATAGCAAAGCTCATGTATCCTCTGAGTTTTGATTCAATGTTAAAATAAAGGGCAAAAATGGGAGAAAGGGAAAGTAAAAGAAGACAAAAGATGAATATAGAGAGAATGTACACAAAATCAGAGGAAAGAAAATAAAAAATCAGTTGACAAAAGACATGAAGGATGTGACTATTATAAAAGCCATAATCAGGAAAGAGTCCTAGTTTGTTTTTCAAACCATGTCACTCTAAACTCATTACTAATTCTATGACAGTAGAATTAAAATAGAATAGAATTAGGATACAGCAGGATCTAGGCTGAAGTGCAAGCATGTCACTTACTAGCAACAGTGACTCTCATGACCCTCTCTACAGAACTTATAGTGTGGTTTATATATCAAAGACAAATCTAGGAATGTTATATAAACTTTAAATTTAAAACTTAGAATTATTTTTAAGGAAAGCTACACAGTAACCCTTCTTTATCTATGATTTCTGTATCTGCAGTTTCAGTTAATTACCGTCAACCAAGCCTCAAAATATTAAGAGTTATTTGAACACAAGCTCTGGGATACCTCTACAGTTCATCTGTCACTAAGGTGGCAACTCCATGACACCAGGTAGCAAATACAGTGTGGATACACAGGACAAAGGTGTGGACACACAGGACAAAGGTGTGATTCCTGTCCTCGTGGGATGAAGTGGGATGGTGCAAGATTTCATTGTGCTGGGGGAGTGGAAATTCCAGAAATAAACAAGTCATAAGTTTTGAATTGTGCACTGCACTGTTCTGAGTGGCATAATGAAATCTTTTTTTTTTTTTGTACCAGGAATCAGACTCACAACCTCATGCCTGCCAGGCAGGCACTGTGCCACTGAGCTACATCCCTGGCCCAGCCCAGTGAAATCTTATGCCATCCCACTTCATCCCAGGAATCACACCTTTGTCCAGTGTGTATCCACACTGTGTTTGCTACCTGGTATCACAGAGTTGCCACCTTAGTGACAGATGAACTGAGGAGGTATCCCACAGCTTGTGTTCAAATAACCCTAAATGGCCCAAAGCACAAGAACACTGATGCAAAGGAGACACCGAGACACACACACAGAAGGAAAGATGAACTCTGCTGCTACGTGGCAACAGGGCAGGGTATATAGGAGAAAACAGAACACACAGGGTTTGGTACTACTGAGGTTTCAGGCATCCACTAGGGCTCTCGCAGCATATCCTCCCTGAGTAAGGGGAACTACATCTTAGAAATCAAAGTTAGTTTTCAGAAATCAGAATGAAGTCCTGATTGTGATGCATAATTTCAACATCATAACATAGTATACTGCTGGTTAACAGACTGGACTTTGAATCAAAAAGAAACTACTCAAATGCTATGTTTATTACTAGCTATGATAAGGGTAAGTTACTTTACCCCCAAATATAAAGTAGGTATGATCATTAATAACTAAATCATTGGTCTCCCATTGGGGTCTAGTAAGATAATGTAGATAATGTGCTTTGGACAAGGCCTGGCATACAGTCAACACTCCACCAGTGATAGGATGTAAGACCACAATACCAATGTACTATTGTAAAGATCCTGCAGCCAGATAGTCCTGAGTTCAAATCTCAGTTTTAGTCACTCAGTAACATGTGCCCTCAGGTAAATTATGTGGCTTTACTGAGCCTGATTTCCCATCTATAAAAATGTTGAGTAATAACAGGACTTCAGAGAATTATTGTGAGACTTAATTAAATAACATTTTTGCAGGTGAAGTACTTAGAACAATGCTTGGCTTCTCTTTTGTCTCAATAAATGTCAATTACCACATTTATTCTTTTCCTCTATTGCTTAAATACATAAAGGTTTATAAGTAACTAGGACATTCTTGTACCATTCAGAAGGGGAAAAAAGAAATAAAGCTACATAAAAGCACAACTACTTATAAATATACAATTTTCACATTAGAAACTTTTAGGGGAAATAACATGGAGTGGGAAAACTATCAGCACTGTAGGGGGACTATATATAACAGAGAAACAAAAATATTGAAACTGATATTAAGAATCTCTAGAAATTTTCAACTTGTTGCCAAAGGAATCAAAGTAAAAAAAGAACTTTTTTTACTGATTTTTACAAAATCTGTTTAAAAGTAAGTTTTTATAACTAAATTGATCTGTTCCATACAACCAGAATCAAGTGTGCTTCTTAAAAACATACTCATACAGTTGTCATTGAAAATTTTCAACTTTCAAATATGAATGGATAGTACACATTTTTTTTGCTTGTTTTCGTGTCATTTTTTTGAAAATTTCATTTGTAAAAAACTAACACCCTCTTATTTAACCTTGGATTGTTTTCCCATTTTTATATCAGGTTTGCTTTACATCATTCAGACAATTTTAAGAATAACCACCAGATGGCTCATCCCACAAATGATCTAACTTTCAGTTTTCTCAGCAAGAGAAGAGCATTCTCTTAAATTTTCTTTTAGGATGATATGATGACAAAGATAACTGTGTCATATTTTTAAAGATAGACTATATTCTCATTTTTAAAATCTGCATTTTTATAAACTTACAAAGTTTCATTGTTATAAAATGTTGTTCCTAATTAGTCCTTTCAGTGTTGCATTTGATTGAAAATTTTTTCTTTTTGCTGTGTAACTAATGTTACTTTTTATTCTTTAGTCTGTATTTCAGTCAAAGATCTGCAGAGTCCACATCACTTTGAACAATATGCTAATTATACTTTATCAGATGTGCCTGCCCTAGAGTAACCTACTTTCATTGATATTGGATAGCTGCCAACCTACAGCTTAATGCCATGGTTGTAATTCAATTGTTGGACTGCATGCTGGTTTTCAAATACAGTTTTACAAAACAGGAACAGTAGGGGGCATGCAGAGCTCAAGATGCTGTCATCATACTGCACTGAGAGACCACACTGTACTTTCTGGAATCTGTAGCCTTATCTGTTTTAATACTAAGAATGGTATTCCTCTTTAAATATGTCCCTTATGTATAACATACTTTATATTCTTGCAAATATTTTATTTGTCAGTTTCATACTGCCATGTGGCATTTTGCTCAACTTTGTGTGTGTGTGTGTGTGTGTACAGGAAATTTTTAATTTAATATGTGACTAGCAACTGTACATGCTGCATTTTGCATTTTGAGTTGCAAAAAGTGTACTTAATTGTGAAAGTGCTACGAAAATGGAAAAGCATTATGCAAATGATCGCTATCATCATTGTTTTAGCATTTAAAATTTTATTAAGGAACACTCTAATTCTCATTACAAATGTGAATGCTGTTCTATCTTTAAATATTCAACAGCTATAAAATGGATGATTATATAAGACAGGCAAAAATATTACAACTACTTCCTTTATGTGGGATTTTCTCATTATCAAAGGATCTTCATAAGTGCCCAACTTAGTACTGTGGAACATATCTATACACCAAAGAAATTTTCATATTTCTCCTTTAGGAAAGTCAGCAGTAGAAAGGTTTTTGGCAGAGTAAAGATAAAAATAATCAATTTTCAATATGGCTTTGCCTTTGCAAAACTCTACAGTAAATTACAGCACCAACAAATATTTGACAAGTGCACCTGTTCATTGACTCTGGAATGTGATGGTCCCTGATGAATAAGAATCTTCACAATTTCCACATCTCCTTTCCAGGCAGCCAGATGAATAGGAAAATAACCTTTGTTATCTGCTACATTTGTTGATGCCTCATACTGAAGTAGTTTGAGAACTATATCCCTAAAAAGAAAGAAAATAAAAGAACACAAGAGAAAAGAAAATATGCTGAACAACATTGATTTCATTGGACATATCATTATGAAAGTATACTACTAGGTGATGGCTAGTAATATAAAGTAATCATTCAAAGTATTAAATCATAAAATTGGTTTCAAGAGTTTGCCTATTTGACATGCTATTTTACTTACGTAAAAAACAAACACCACCACACTTTATGTGTAAACACACACACACACATCTAACCAATAAAATTACTTATTTTTTCCAGTGATGGGGATGGAACCCAGAGCTTTGCACCAGGCAGCTTTTCTATACTGAGCTATATCTCCAGCCCCAATGGAACTACATAATAGAATTTATGTATGCACAGCATATCTTATTTCATTAAAGTCAAAAGGACACCTTCTTCCATTTTTTAAAAAAAGAAGTATTTCCAGGCAGCCTATATCTGAAATTTAGCCTGAAAGAAAAGTAGAAATTATAAGGGTACTCCCTGTTTACAAAAAAAAAAAAAAAAAAAAAGGTATAATACCAAGGAACATGTAGGGAATTTACATATCATTCCTATAGAGAACTGGAATAAGTTACTTAAGATGCACATAAAAGAGAAAATTAGCCAAGTAGAGAACGAGCCCTGAAAAAGCCAGATGTATTACTACAGGGTTAAAAAAAGGTTTAGTAACTTTTCAGCCATGGTACACAACACTCTGTGTATTATCCGTAATCATGTGTTCCCCTTTCTCTTTCAAGCAAGAAATGAGTTCTGGAAGGAAATGCATTTAAGAGACAAGTCCCACAATTAATGCAATTTCAACACATACTCTATATTCTCTATCTATAGGATTCTGTATTCAATTCCCAACAGGTTTTCAAAGTAAAGATCTTGAAATAAAATAAGCAATCTCATGAAGAATTAATTAATAATTATTAAGGTATAGTATACTGAATTTTGTATAAAACAATCAAAAACAGTAATTTCATATCCAAAACTGTTTTCATTTAGATACATTTTAAGAAGTTAATTTTAATAATTCACTACACAAAATCTTAAACGGATACATACACATTATATACTAAGGTTATTTCTTATATAATGAATTACCAATGTGGAAAATGAATGGAAAAGGAAGATCTAAAGTTAAATTTTTCATAAAATCAGACCCTGTAAATAACAAATGAGAAAAGTTGGAAGAAGTTTGAATAGAGCAGGGTTAGAACTCTGACAGCTCACATGAAAATTAGGTATGATAACAATATAAAATGATAGTAAATAGTAAAAGAGACTGCCCAAAACGTGGCCTAAACACTGGACTTGGTTCTACATGTATGAAATCATGATGAAAGAACAGAAAATGTGTCTGTAAACACTTAGAAAGTTCCACGGAGTCGCAAATTTCCTAATTATAAGATTTCTGAGAAATTAAAAAACAAATTTTATCTTAATATTTTTAAAAACCAGCATTACTTTATAAGTTCTGAATTTGAAGATTTAGATTTGAGCTCCACCTAGGCAAACTACCTAACACTGTGACCCTGGAGAAATTATTTAGTCCCATTTTTTTCTTTTGTGTAGAAGATACTGTAATAACAATGCCTCCTACTCAGGACTGATAGAGTATTAAATCACTTGATAAATAATAAAACACTACACAAATAATAGTACTGGTCCAAGAAAAAATAAAATCCTTTAGATGAAAATGCATAGAGAAAATCACCTTGGAAAAAGAGAATCTTAAAATCAGAAGGAAACTTAATATTATCCAGTTCACAGGGTTCTCTTAGTATCTGCCATATAAAGGTTTTTACATAGGGCTTCCACTCTGAGGTAAGTAAATAACTACACTGAGGATTTAATCAATAGCTCTGAACAACAAAGAGCTGTGAAGAACTTGATTTAGCTTGAAGCCCCATCTCAATTCTATTTACTAACTTGGTTACCTTGAGCAAATCAAATAACCTGTATCTCTCTTTCAGATATTGCTAATACAGAATTCAGAGATTACAGCTTCTTACCGTTTCAAAGGGTTATGGGGTAAATCAAATGAGAAAGACATGATTGTAAAGTTATATACAATCAAAAAAACTATTCTCAAGGCAAGCTGTTGCCAATACTAAACAATTTCAATAACTTAACAGAAACATTTCAGCACTTAAAAGGTAAAGTAAGAGCCTCAGGAAGTTGGTCAAACTACTTGAATCTTAAAAGGAAGATTTATTTTAGTACAGAATAGATTTCTTCAAATTAAAGATAATTGTGGGGCAGATTTTTATCTCATTTCCTAATGTGTGAGCAAGTTAAAAAATCCAACCCTTTTTCTCCTAGAAAGTATTTACTTCTGCTATGGTTCGGATATAGTTTGTATCCTCCAACGGTTGTGTGTTGAAATTTAACCACCACTGTAAAGTATTAAGAAGGTGGAAACCTAATCAGACTCTGATGGTTAGAGATGGAGCCTTTGGGAAGTTATTAGATTAGATAAAATCATCAGGGTAGAGCCTGTATGATTAAGTCTGGTGGCTTTATATGACAAAAGGGAAAGAGATCAGAAGAGATGCACAGGTGCATATGCCTGCTCCCTGTTTCTGGCCGTGTGATATCTTGTACCACCTTGGGGCTCTGCCAGCAAGATAATCAGCAGATGTAGGTCATACACCTTGGGCCAGAACGGTAAGCCAAGTGTGACTTTTCACTAGAAAATTACCAGGCCTCAGGTATTTCATTAGAGTAATACTAAAATAGACAAATATACCTTTCAAAAGGTAATAAGGAAAGGCTGACTATTATCAATTCCATTTCCTTTTACTCTCAAACCATTCAGAATTCCATTTGTTCTTTCGCTCAAATTTTACTGACATTTTCTAATAATATGTATGATAGGTATTCATTCTTTTTCATCAAGAAGATTTATGATACAGTGGGGGGAAAAGTCTATTTTTAGAAATGACCTACCAATCATTTGTGTTATGTAGTATAATTACCATCTAATATCTAAATCGTAACATAATAATCTGGATATTTGTGAAATTGTCTTTGGTAAGGACTAAGATCCTAACTAAATATTATTAATTTTATTTAAATCTTTATTAAAATAATTTATCTTATTAGATGTGCTTGTTTTTAAATTTAAACTTTTAAATTTTTATTTATGTGGAGCTTTACCTCTTTTGCAGAGATATTAGCTAATGAACTGAGATCAGGTATTCAGTATGAAAATATATTTTTGAAATATAAAGTTACATGTCTAATCAAACAGGTACCTATCAGTGTATCATAAATATAATAAATTATTAACCAACATACTGTCATTAATCTTTCTTATGATACATCCATGTTAAATGAACTAAATAGGACTTTACCTATTTAAATACCTAAATCAGAAGAGTAGTCAACACTAAAATATCAACTCCATATTATTACTTTTTATGTTTATTTAGGTCGAACCTTTAGTCTTCTACAGAGGTATCACCAAGTGAATGAACATACTGACAATGCTTGGTTACCTGGCATGAAATATTAAATTATATTGCTAGTTAATGTATGTAGAATAGCAAGTAGCAAAATACTCCCTATATCTTAAACATAAACTAGAAATATTTCTGGTATCCAGCATTTGAAAATTTTAAAATGCTCTAGGATCGGGGCATAATTCAGCAGTAAATTGTATGCTCAGTATGTGGGATATCCTGGTTTTAATCCCCAGCACACATTATATAAAAAAAGATATAAAATTCTGAAGTAAATATATATATTTGGTTTTGGTTTTTCTCCGGTACCGGGAACGAACTCATGACCTTGCGCTTGCCAGGTAGGCGCTTTGCCGTTGAGCTAAATCCCCAGCCCCCTGAAGTAAATATAGTTCATGGAGATCATAGGAAAATAATTTCATGTCTCAAGAGCAAAATAAAATATCAAATTAAATTTATTAATGATCCAATTTAAATTATTTCAATTATATGCAGCTTGAAACTAACACATATAAGTGCAGGGAAAAAATAGAAGTTCTGAAAGCTTTGATTTTTGCCACAATACTTAATTTTAATTCATTTTTGAGAGATGTAAATGTATTTCTGAATAATATGAAATATCTCCAAAGAAGTGCAGTATATGTTCTGAGTAAAATTAAGTTGGAAATATCAGCATTCAGAAGTCTGCCTCAACAGCAAGACTTTCGGTAATTAAATCACAGACAAAAAATGTTTACTTTTCATCTTCATATGGTTGCAGAATTAACAAACTAATGAAACTACCAAATTCAATATTGCTTTTTTGAGTTGATTTTCTTAAACCTTTTTACTTCTCTTGTTCAAGGGGAATAAATAAATTTGCAGATGTGCACAACATGATCACAAATACATTTCATTTTCTGATTGAAACTTCTTTACATATTGAATTCCCTCTCATATATATTTCTAGATTATAGAGTAAATGAAAGTAAATTTTAACTAGCTAATATCCTTGTCCAAGAAAGAACTAATCAGACAAAAAATGTTGTTAGTTATTCAAATAGCAATTTAATATGCCAGATTATATATTTTTCTCTGTGTGTCTCTCTGTGTCTCTGTGTCTCTGTCTCTCTCTCTCTCTTTCTCTTTTATGGTACTAGGGATCAGACTCAAGGACATCCTACCATTGCCCAGGCTGGCAGTGAATTTGCAAACCCCCTTCCTCAGCTTCCTGAGTAGCTGGGATTAAAAGTGTGCTCCATGGTGCCCAGGCAGATTTTGGAATTTTGTGAAGAGGTACTCTTCTTTCATTAGGAGAAAGAGACAGAAACAGAGATAGAGACAGAGACAGAGATACAGACACACACACACACACACACACACACACACAGCACAATCAAAATTACAAATAGCTTAGTATCCGGATTCTAGACCCAGTGTAATACACAATTTGCATTACAGATAGTGGGTTATAAAAAGCATTATACACTGAAAATAGTTCAAAGTAAGATTACAAAATACTTTAAATCCTACATATATTAAAATATACATATTTCAAAGATACAATAACAATTTATTGATATTTTTCAAAACAGCATTCAAGAGTCACAATGCACTGAATAGTTTAATACAATAAGACTTAAGAAAATAAGCAATTCTCTAGGTAGAGAAGTAGAATAAAATAGAAATATCAAGGTTTGTGAAAGGTAAGATACAGTTTTTTTTTAAAAAAGGACTGAGGGTGTAGCTTAGTGGTAGTTTGTCTAGCATGCACAATGCCCTGGGTTCTATACCAAGTACTGGAAAAAAAGGAATAGGGTAGGAGGACAAAAAGAAGAATGGAAAAAAGAAAATTTAAGAAGGAAATGGAGGACTAGGAATATAGCTCAGCAGCACAAGCACCTGCCTAGGAAGCACATGGTCCTGAGTCTGATTCCCAGTGCAAAAAATAAACAAATAATAAATAAATAAATGGAGAGAAAGGAATGGAGGGAAGCAGGAAAGGGTAAGAGGTAGGAGGTGAAGGGAGGGAAGGAAGGAAGGAAGGAAGGAAGGAAGGAAGGGGGAAAGCAGGCAGGCAGGTCAATTGCTATTCAGAAAAGAATTCAGTGATTTGGATTTATAGCAGAAACACATAAAACTTGCTACAGAAGAAAAAACTGATAGGTCTTCACCCTATCTTGAAATAATTTGGGCTTTCTTCTATTACATGCAGATAGTAACTTTCTAATCTGTAATTACAAATGACCTAGGAAATCTCCAATAGGGTACATTTTCTATTGTGTCCATATCTAGCTAACTGAAATCAAGTTGTTCAATATGAAATAAAGCGTTTGACGTACAAAATTCTGTTCCATTTGTGGATTAGTTACTATTGATGAACAAACTCAATAATATGTGCAAGAATATGGGAAGAAGCAGGTTTAATTGGCAATGTGATGGACTTAGATTGTATACTGGGGATAAAGACCTGTATTCAAACTAAAAATGAATGGTAGGGCATGGTAACATTCCTTCCAATTCTGATTCCATAAATCTTAGTCTATAAATTATACTGTCCAGGGAAAGAATCTAGAGCAGAGGGATACATAGAACAACAATAAATATGGAAGTGGTATGTTTCCATGCTACATGTTAAGGCTACTTGGGAAAAATGCAACACAATCAATTGTTAATTACCTACGCTGAGTGAGAATAGCAAAGGCAAAGAAAAGAAGTACCACCTTTTTCTGATTCTAGTTCTGATGGCAACCTTTTTCTGGTTCTGATGACATTATTTTCTCCTTCAAATATTGCCTTTACTTAAGCCAACACTAAACTAGCATTCCACAAGAACATACCATGTGATGACATCAGACATATCCCAGACGTATATGACATGACAGAAAAAAGCCAGGAAGAGTTTAAGCACAAAAGAAAGATAATGTAGACTACTCATAAAAGCACAAATTTGTAACTAAAATACTTAGGTTATAGGTATAATCCTACCTTAATTATATAAGTGGCCACTACATTCTTATCCAGCATGGCTTTGTTTCCCCACATACAAAATGAGGGAGGTGAGTGGGATTGGATAAAAAGTAAACTATTTCCATCTAGTTGTAAAAGTCTATAGATAATTTAAACCAAAAAAATATATATATATATATATGCTATATATTAAAATCCAAATTCCTTATTTGAGGCGTCATAATTCATACTTGAGCAATAATTAATACAAAACACAGAAAACGCATAAAACATTATCACTGGAAGGAGGAATAGAGACTACTCAGACAGTGTAGTCAAGGAACTGAGGCCTAGAGATGTTAAGAAAATGGCCTAAAGACACAAAACTAGCTTGATACTAGATGGGGAACCAGGATTAGAATTTTCTTCCTTTTCCAAAGCCTACAGAATGACACTGAGTAAAATCTTACTAGAAAATGTTAAAAATAAAAAATAAATGAGATCTGATAAATGCAGCAATTCTAAATCTCACAAAATATCTACAATAAAAAGGACTTTAAAAGATATCTAGTCAAGTCCTGCCTATGATAACCCTAATGACTGCTGTTCAATCCCCTTAGATTATCCTCACTTTAAAAATTGTAAAGAAAAAAGAACAAAAAATTATGCAATGAGCTAAGAAAAATAACATACTAATAGTTAGAACTTCATAGGCTTTCCTGTATAAATCAGTTATATTTAGTAAATACTTCACAGAAAATCAAGGAGGGATATAAGTGCTAATCCACAGTGGAACAATATCATTTTAAGATGTGCTTACAGCACCAATCTGTGAAAGCACAATAAAAGTAGGATAGCTCAAATGGTCAGGTCCAAGAGATTCTGCCCATTAGATTTGATAAGAGTTTATCTTCCCTATTAAAACTAAAAAATATGGTACTATGCTGAGTGCACAATTAAGACAAAAATGTCATGGTGATAAACGACAAAAGACAGTAAGTTCCTTGCAGCTAAAGCTTTATGGCCATGAAGCTTAAAACCAAGTATAAGTTCTTTGTGTATCAGATCACAGAATAAAATAAAAATTAGGTGGGAAATTAAAAAGAATTGGCATTTTTAAAGTAGTAATTACCACATCCAAAACACAAAAGTAAAATGAAATAATCCAGATCTGGGAAAACTAACTTGAATCATTTGTGTGAACAACAACAAAAAAAAATAGCGGCAGAAGAGACATTTGAAGATGGTCATTTTTCTTCTAGTGAGAAAGGACAGAACATCTGAGTAACTCAAAACACTAAACTGTTAGGTTACCTAGCTAAAATACTGATTATATAATATTGTTTATGGTTACACACTCTTTCACTCCTCAAAATGAATACTATCACATTATTTGAAAAATAATTCTAGAAGTTCAAGTTCAGCATTAGGAAATTTAAAACCAGGAAGATGATCATGAATAACACAGATGAAACAGTTTAACTAAATCTCAGGAAGGCTTATAAGAGCATGACTCTACTAAGAGTTTACTCTTAGTGAATTTTATTCTGGCATATACCTATACTCATAGGTATATGCCACAGAAGGTAGGAGGGTGTTGTCAAGTGGTTTTATCCTTTTCTATCCCCAAAGCTACACAGGACCAATATGGTCCTGTCACTTCTTCCATCCCCTCTGTGTGGTATTTGATTATTTCTGAGCATTTATTTTTACACAATCAATCACCCTCAACAACTTTCCTACCCAGTTTGACTTGTCATTGTTGTCATCTGCTGCCTCTCCAAATTCGCTTAAGGCCAAGGGACTCATGCAGCATGAGAAAGGTGTCATCAGATGTAATTAACGTTATCACATGTAACTAAATGCACAAGGATTCCAGTCCAAATAAGCGGCACTTACTTATGTCCATTTAAGGCTGCGTGGTGTAAAGCAGTGTAACCCGAACTGTCTGTGCAGTTCACATTGGGGCCTCTCCAGATGCTGCAAATGAAGCACAATCGCAGAGTTAACAGTTAAGCAGAATCGTGCTTTGGAAAACAAAAAGCCTGATGATAGTCCCACAGCCAGCAGCATGTTGCATTTAACTTTAGTCATGTAGAAAATGATTGCCATCTTTCATGCTTTCTCCTCAGAACAACCTCATGTACTTGATGCAGGAAAATTAATAGGAAATGTAACAAACTTCAAATATTAGTGGATTGTGCCCACTGCCATGCATCCATGTTCCGATCCCTAGTACTTTTTTTATTACTTAAATACTAACACTCAGATACTATATTTTCTCCCAAAGAAAAAAGATTTATGAAACCTGCCTTCTCCCTTTCAATGCACTCTTTCTGAGATGGCAATGATTTATGTAAGTTATAACACATTTTTGCATTATGGAAAAAATATAAACTTTAATTTTTGTTCTGCTGCAACCAAGAAAATGTAACCAATATTTCATACTTGAAAATAAAACTGAAGATTTAGACTACTGTAACCCATAAGAAGATCTTCATAATTTACAGTTATTGGTTTTACTATACAGTATGTTCCAGAGATAACATGTAACTTTATAAAAGAGTCCATTTTATCCTCAAACATTCCAATTCAAGAAATTATTTTAAGCTTTTGGAAAAATAAAGCATTAAAAGGTGCATTTCTTGAGCACAACAAAAAATGATTTCATCTCATGTTCAGGATGACAGTAAAATTTCCAAAATATTATCCAATGACAAATGAACTCATATCCACAAAATATTTATTGTACATTAATTTTAGGTCACGGGCCAGGGATAAAGCTCAGTGGCCCAAGCACCTGCCTGGCAAGCATGAGGTCATGAGTTCGATTCCCAGTACAAAAAAAAAATTTTAGGTCACATATTAGGACAGGCACTGAGAGCACAAAATCATAATTGAAGTTCCTTCGTTATAAGAACAGTTTGATGGAGAAGAGTGAATAAAAAGAAAAAGTAACAAGATACCACGATCAATGAGAGACAGGTGGGAAAGAGAAAGCAGCCATCTAAAATGATTCAGGCTTAGATGACTGCAGTAAAAGGAAGATATTAAACAAGATATGAAATAGAAAAAAAAGAAGCAAATTTCCTGGAAAGAGGACAATGAAGGATAGAGAGAAAACAATTTCTGATTTGTCCACACTGAAGTTTAAGTATCTTACATACCTAAAGTAATGATTTCCAGAAGACTATGAAAATACTATATATATATAAGTAAAAGTATGGCTCTCAAGCTAGACTACCTGGGTTCAAAACTTTTCACTGGGGATAGCTGTGGATGAAGATATCCAAAATTAAAGTCCTCATTAGCAAAATGGAGATGATAATAACAGTGCCACCATAGAGTGCTGTTGTAAGGATCAAATGAATCAATATCTACAAAGCTACAAGAAGTACTAGAACACAGTACTGGTACCCATTATCAAAATATAAAAGACAGGAAAAGCATGCTAACACTAATCAAAAGAAAGCTGAATGAGAGAGACAGATACACTGACACAGAGAGACAGAGAGAGGAAAGAAAAAGAGAAAAACAAAGCTGATTTTATTTATATAGATTTCAGAGCAAAAATATTCATAGACTATAGAAGGTCATTTCATAACGATAAACAGGACAATTTGTCAGAGGAAATAATAATCCTAAATATTTTTGCATATGACAAATGAATTTGAAAATACATAAAGTAAAAACTGACACAATTGCAAAGGGAAATATACCTATCCACCAATATTTAAGGATTTAAACACCCATTTTCTCAATAATTAATAACAGAAGCAAACAGAAAATCAGCAATGGTATATAAGGCTTGTATAACACTATCAACCAATTTAATCTAACTGAAATTTCCAGCATACTCTACCCAATAAGAGCAGAATACACATTCTTTGCAAGTGAAGTTAGGAAATTTTCCAAACATAGAATACTTTGGAACATAAAACAAGTCCCAATGTTTTTTAATTATAGTGTCCACTATAATTATTCACATCATACAAAATATGTTCTCTAACTCTAGTGGAGTTAAATTAGAAATCAACAACAGAAAGTATTTGGAAAACCCCTATATTGGAAATAAGGTTAACCCATATATCAAAGAAGATATCAATAAGGAAAACGGCAAATTTTGAACTGAAAGAAAGAGAATATATCAAAACTTTTCAGATGAGCTAACACATACCTAAGGGAAAATTTACAGCACTGAAACAATATTAGATCTGAAGAAAAGTTTTAAATTTATGACCTCAGCTTACAAACAACTCCACTTTTTGGAAATGATTCATATCAAATAAAAGTACTAACATGAAGACCATACAAACCAAAATGTTTACTATAAAATTTTAATAGTATAAAAGAAAATGTTCATAAATGCTTGCACAAAAGGAAAAAATAGCTAACAACGATCAACGCTATGGAATATTATATAACTACTACAATACAAAACTTTAATCTATTTGCACTGACCTTGACAGTTAACCAAAACATAAGTCAAACAGCAAAATATTGTGATTCAATATCCTGAGTGCTTTATATTTATTAACACATTTATACAATTATAAGACAGACCTATACAACTATAAGACAGATACTCTCATTATTCTCATTGTACAGATGAGAAATATCTACATAAACATGGAAAAACACACATAAAAAGGAACTATTCACTCTCTTGATGTTTGAATAGTTGAAATTATCATGTATTTCTTTAATGAAAAAATACCAAGAAAGAAAAGACCAGATTGCCCCACATTATGAAAAGCCTCATAATATGCCAAGAAGCTTAGATTTTACTCTACAGTCAACTTAAAGCTGAATTTCTACCAAAAAGATATTAAATCTATTTCCAGCATGATTTGGTCAGTGTTATAAAATGAGAGTTGTAACATCTGGAAGGTGAACAGAGTGAGAGAGGCAAGTTAACAGTTTTAACAGAATAGGGAGAAACAAAGGCATTTGAACTCATGGAGATAGTGTGGAGAGAGAGGAGAGAGGAAATTCAAATACAAAAATATGTCTAAAATAAACCTGTAGCTGACAGTATTCACATACATAGGCTAAGAGTAAGAGAATGACTGGGGTTTCTACCGTGAAGGAAATGCATGGATGATGAGGTATCTCCATTAGACAAAACTAACTGCAAGGGCAGTGGTACCTTTGGGGGAAGGCAAGTTTCAGTTAAAGCTACCTAGAACTCTCAGTACCTCAGGCAAAGGATGGAAAGAAGTGAGAAAATACTGTAAATTAACTCATGTATTTTTAAAATTTTCTGCATGTTCTTAGACCTTATAAATATTTAATGGGTTATGATACTGATATTTATAACTAAAATAAGATTCAGGGTCTATATATTTCATTTATCCATATCACCTCAGTATCCTACTATCAAGAAAAAACCAATTATATTAGCAGCCTGAAGAAATCTCCAATGACTGTCTCTCAAGCATAGTGGATGTGGATACATGTTTTTTTAAACAAGGAAGTTCAAAATAGAAACAGCGCACCCATGCACACACACGTGCGCGCACACACACACACACACATTCAACTACACCTATTGACAGAGCCTGTAGGCACATATCTACATATCCACAGAACATTCACACACACTGGAAACACTGAATAAACCAGACCCAAATCCTCCAACCAAAAACTTAATTTAAAAAAAAAGAAAACGATATTTAAAAGCTCAGATTTAGAACTAATGTTCTGCTTTCATCTAAATTTTTGTACTATATTATTCCCTTTACACAAACATAATTTCAAAGTTAAACAGAGGGTCTAAGACTAAAATCTTGGTTAATTTGAGTCGTTCTACAAAACAGAGTGTCTAAGTACCATTAAGAGATGTCTTTAAAAAGTTAAAAATGCTCGTTACTTTTTTTTGTTGGGGATAGAATCTGGAGTCTTATGCATACTAAGCAAGCACTCTGCCCTTGAGCTACACGCTCAGCCTGACTAAACTTTTCATAGAGACAATCTATAAATCCTTGGTCTTAGGCTAATATGAACTTAAATGCCATCTTCTATGCCTATTTGTCAATATTTTAAAATCTGTATGTGAGAATTATTGCCCAAAATAGATGCTAACAGAAAATACGAGATCCTCAATCACCAAAGATTTCATTTCCTATGTATACTATCAGTACTAATGTAACAAATCAGATTAGTATGTTTTAGAACAAATATAAACCAAATAAATTTTCTGCTAAACTTTCAAATAAGCTGGACATTCACCAGTCATAATATTTTTATTCCCTTAGCTTTTTAAAATTTTTATTAGAATATATTAATTGTACAGAATAATGGGTTTTTATAACTTTTTCATACATGCATATAATATACTTTGACCATATCTTCCCTTTATTCCTTGAACTTTCACATATTAAAGAAAATGATTCTTAGATAAAATGTGAGCCTGAATTTCTTGGGCTAATAGCCACATGTATAGCAAATGAAACTTAAAGGCACAGCTACTCCATAAATTGATCCTCATTGAACCCTCTACCAGTCTATGGAGAAATCCATCAGGAACAATGGAAGCCAGCATCTGCTTCTGTGGAATCCTCTGATTCCTCTGACACATGAGATGATTCCAGGGCAAGATACATGGAGGTTTACACAGAGTGTTCATCCAACATCTCGGGCAGGGTCAATCCCTCACTATACGAATGGCTTTCTGACAGACGAGTTAATTTCAGCAACACAAAACAAAGTCTGTCTTCTCTTCAATTTGTACTACAGTAATTTGCTTCCATGATTAGATGACCTTGACACATACTACTGAATACCACAAATTAAGTCCCCATCTCTATAATGATGATACAATTTTATTACCATGAGCTAAAAAGGTCAAATGAGTCTGTATGAGTCTGTATCATCACTGTCCAACAGAAATACAACATGAGCCCCACATGTAAATTTAAATTTTCAGGGCCGGCCCCTAGCCACACAGGCACCCTGTAGGCAGGCCCCTGGTGCCTGGG